GAAAATGAAATGCATTTTCGTTCAGAAATAATAAAAGTTCAAAGTTTCCAATAATTTTTTAGAAGATCCTAGTGAAGTAGTAGGTTTCCCGAAAGGCTTTTAATGACTAAAACAATCTCGAAAGTTTATATACTATAATGTTGTTTATATATTAAAAATACACGTACATATAGGTACAATAACAATACAAGTTGAAGAATTGATCAGAATTACTTAAATTTTGAAACCCTACTTTTCGCATTTGGTTTATCGTACAGTCGGGTTGTACTAGTTGTATCCAAACTTAAACCAACAAAAATGTTACCATTCATTTTTTTTCTCTTGTCAATACTATTGTGTAGATAGTTGACGTATCCCATGAGATTTAGAATTTCGCTGCAAAATTTATGATTACTGCAATTACTGCAATATGTATTCGTATATAATGTTAATGTATCCAGAGTAAAAAACAAATAGTTAAGTTCGTTTTAATTATTTCTACCTTCTATAGAGATCAATCAAGGTTTAAAAAAAAAACAATATTAATTTATTTTGTTTTAAAATTGAACTAGATTTTAAATACTAAAATCTCTTTAGTACATACCGCAGATTCATTTACACATACCGCAATGTATAATGGTGTAGTGCATTTGCTAATTTGATACTGCACTATATTATATTATACTCAACTTTTTGTTACAGAAAAACTAGCGAGCTTACTTCACAACTTTTGGAATGAAAATTTTAGCTGTCTAAACAATTTTTCAGATATATAGACACGAAAACATAATAAGTCTCCACTTTTGTCTAGTATCTACCAGAAAATATTATTGCATTATTTGTTTGTGCTTTGTTCTTCCTAATCTTACTATATTACAGCGATGCTAAGAAAAGAAATTGAAATTTACATAATAATTAAGATGCTCAAAAACTCAAGCACACATTATTAAATATAAATTAAATTAATCTAAATGTATGGAAATATAGAACAAAATACATAATATTTTGTTCTATATTTCCATATGACTTTACATCGTTGAATCCATACATCGTATTGTATTTGAATAAACATTTCAATCGAGATGTTTTCATTGGCAGTGGTTATTCAACTGGAGCAGTACATTCTGCTCTTTTTCACGCTACACTGGTTCCTGATGAATGAACTGCGGTCGGGTATTAGAGTTCACCCACATATTATGCAATATTAATATAGCAATGTACAAAATTAATATTTACAATTGAAGTACATACAGAGGTCAAATGTTTTCATAACCATTTTATATACTGGTAAATGATACAGATTCTTACAGTTTGTGTCATGTATGTCAAATTATCCTGCAAATTTACTATACGTGAACAATGTATTTAAACAAGTTATGGGCATGCATTTTAAGACAGGAGTTAAGGATGGCTGACGAAATACAATTGCATAAATTGCTTATCAGCTCGTTCGCATCATATTTCAAATAAATGATACACTGGGATAAGGGGATTGTTAGTTAGTACCTACTTTCTATTGGTTAATTCCTGGTGAGATCCCCATGATGAACAGATCTGACTTGAAGCTCAATCTCATCCTGTCATGCTCCATTGATAACCCGGTTGCGTAGACGAGTCACCCATTAAAATTATAATATGGTATGGTAAATATACCAAAAGAATAATCTTGCTTATAAAATTGATTAAAGTATTCTCGAACGCTTATAAAGTTATATAACAATATAGTAACACTAAAATGAAGACATTCCACAAAAAAGATCTAACCCGACATGTTTGAAAGCAACAATCCGGAAAATAATCTCGTGTCCGTTTCAAAAAATAACCACGAAAACAGACCTCCTCGTCTAAAAGGATAAGTACCTACCCTATGTATTATCAAGCATAATACAGACAGTTTGTACAAAGATCCCATTTCAGATCAATCTGTCATTCTGTTAAACAAGCCCTTCTCTTTACGTTACTTCACTGAAGATGGTCCGTATTACACAAAGTTTATTTGTCGGGATATGACGTCATATTTAGTGACATGAACTACATCCGCCTTTAGTGGGGTTCTCCTTTGCAGATAGAGTAAGACATTTTTATATATGACTACAAGGTCGCTTTATGAGATGATACACATTAGGATAAAAAAATATAATCACACATACATTATTCATAATATCACAAACATAACTGAGTGCACATAAATGAGTCCTATTCAAATATTAATTGTAATGTATTACAGTGACTATTCATTATTAAGAAACAGTGATGACCACTTTATTTATTAATAATTCATAGACATTCATAATATTGATGAATAATATAACTTTGAAAGCGTCAACGTCCATTAATTTAATGCCCTGACTTACAAATCTCAAAGTTGAAATATAAATCCAACTTTGTATCTTATATTAAATTTCTAACTGTCTTGTATCTAGAAACACCAGTAACAGACAAATTTAGTTCGAAAAATATCATTAGACTCCACATTAAATTCAGAAATTTTAGCATCAGGTATACAGTTTTACGGGCATATCCCTTTAACTTTCAATACAACCACAGATAACATAACTGACACAGAAAACTGTTTGGCGACTGAAGTAGATGAGACAGTATTATTTTCTATTTCGACAATATAACCCTTCAATGGCTCAAATATTTCAGAACTAATACAGAAGAATATTTAAATACCTATGAAATTTAAAAGTAACGAATCAACAAAATATCCAAGGAAAAAACAAAGGAAAGTAAAACAAAAATAAAACAGCTATTGAGACATCCTTTTCGAAATCGATTGAGAGTTCTCGTCTATCCGGACAGGAAAATTCCATTTTCCAAATACAAAACAGGGAACAGACGACACAAACCTAAATACCTTGTAAGTAAACGAAGCGCAATGAGTAAATAGCATTTTCCGCTTTGAGAAATTTTCAAAACAAACAGGCGCTGAAAAACTGTGAACAAGTTTTAACTGATTGTCGTTTTTCGTGATCAAGCACAATTATTATTGTCATATTGTTTACAATTCTACTCCACATACAGCGTTTATATTTATTTGCATAGTATTTAAATATAGATTCATATTATAACTTCCTACACAAACATTATCTTCGTTCAACTCAAAAAAATCTTTTTCTTATATTCTATTACAAGGATAATATTGAAATAACATTATCCATGAAATAGAATTTACTCAGAATCTACGTGTATACACCTTCATACCTTCTATACCTTCGTCTACTATTGATTTTCTAATATATTCTATACACAATGAACAATATTTTATCAAACCAAGACAATTCTGTTGTTTTAGTAGAATGTACTGGTACTAATATCATGGCGTATATTAATGTCATTTAATATTTGTTATAGTGTAAATAAAATATATTTTTGTTTATTTACATATACAGAGAAAATTATGAAACGCATATTGAATAACTGGAGAGAGTAATTTAAAATAGTAATTTAAATTTGTCAATTAGTTCGAAAACATATATATGTAATGATAAATAGTAATAGTACGGATATAAATCAATAATGTTATTGTAAATCATAACAATCACCAGCATGATATCTTAGTACTCTATCTAATAGCAACGCAAGACTGGTAACACGTATGTCACATTATCAGGTACCATTCGTGATACAGTTATGACGCTCTCACGTCATCTCTGTAAAGCTGTCCATGTTGTAGGCTACGGTTACGCTTACCATATGGTGCGCCTGCAGTTTGTTTGCCATTCCAATTTCTTAAAAAATATATTAGTTATTTTAGGATTCCCAAATAAAAATTTAGATATTTTATAAACTCTATATGCTATCTAGAATTTTAGTCTTGAACATTAAAATCGGTATGGTCATTGATTTAGTCACAGACATAAAAAGTTTTGAATTTATTATATTAGTAGAATAAAATATTTTATATTTTAGCTGTATGACGAAGTCATCTTCGATAGAACGCTGAGTAATAGACTACGTGAATATGTACGAGTACATATACACATAATGCTAAATACAAGTAATAAAATTATCACTAGAGCATTATCAATTGTATTATTTAGTAGTAGTATTGCTATTGAATCTTTAATAAATAAATGTTTTATAATTTATTTTATTATTGTTGACTTTACTTACTAACATAATTTTGTTTATATATATAAATTAAGCAAAGAATGTATCTTTATTTATAGTTCTTATCTTTGTACACACTTAATATGGGGTATAATAGACCTTGAATGAGGTCGTCTGCATGTGCCACCACCTTGCTGTAAACTATGATATGATAGTGTATTTTTCACAATATGTTTGCTTAAAGAAAGTTGTGGAAAGTATTAATTTTAAATTATAAGTTTTAATATTTAATTTATTAATCAAATAATACATGCCGTTATATAGATTGTTTTACTATGCCATTTATTACCATCTGATCTACAAATGTACTCGCGCCTGAACTCGCAGTATATAAAAAAATCATGAAAACCTTCAACGCTTTATGTGTTAATATCCGCGTGGTAATGGTGTACGCTAGAAAATCGCCAGAGAGCACTACAAGCAGAATAGTTTCCAGAGTAATTTCGATATGTTACTCTTCCTCATTACTTGATATTGAGTAATCATCACTATGTCAGTAATTGACAAACTATGTTCTTATACAGTCATGGTTAATAGACCACCTAAAGGAAGGTGATAACTGTCTCTTAAATACTTGTCATCATGAGACGCCTGTAATCATCCTTATAACTAAAGACTAAGAAAGTTGTCGCGCCTCGAAATCCTATGTATAATTTCAATGATATATCACAGTTTATACAGCACGGTGATACCCATGCAGACGACTTCGTACAAGATCTATTATATCTCATATTCATTGTAATATGAGCAGGAAATAAGAATACTAGTGTACCTATTAATATTATTTAGTCATTATTTACAGCACGCTCCTATTCCGTTTTGATCACGTGAATAACTTTATCGATTTCAAGAAATTGCCCGATAATAGTTGATAAGAGATAACAAAACTAATATCTAAAACGCATTGAACATTTCGTCATTTATATTTATGTCAACATATGTGATACTCACAATTTGGAACCATTCTATTTCTAATTAAATACTTGTGCGTGTATTAGGACACAAAGTAAGTTTCCATTTTTAGATATTATTTTTCGAATTAAAATAAATCTTTTTCGTTTATAATATTGTTCATAATGTTTTTATCAAACCAGCTCGCAATATTCTTTCACAAATGTAAGTTTATAGATATCTTCATAAATATTCGGCTGTTATCAAAATTAATTTAAAAGATAAATATATAATATGAATATCTTTTAAATTTAGTAACTAAAAATGTGGAATGTTAGACACGTAGGTAATTTCATATTTTTAAATTACAATGTCATAATTGTTATGTATATAAATTATCAAAATGTGTGAAAACATTTTATTTTGCGTTGGTATTCATTTTGACCCTCAGTTTTAATAACTTGTAATATTATATATAATGAACAAATGTATAATTATAAATGAGAATGACATATATAAACTATAAATCATATATACAAATATGTGTACAATTATAGAATACAGTTTAAAACCCATGGTACTTTCATGAATTGTTTTTTTTTGAGTAGTCGTGTTATTACTTCTATTAATAGCATTATCAATAATCTTCAATTTAGAATGCACTTTGAACAAAAACGTACCTATTTGTATTTGTGCCATCTTTTTTTAGATGTGTTACTAAATATTTCTCATTTGAAGAATTTATACCAAAATCTTAGACCTCACGAATATATACTATACACTATATATATATATATACATGAGAAGTAGTACGTGTGTCACAGTATTTTCGTAGGGTTCATGGTAGTTCATATTAATAAACTATACCATCTTACATTGGATAAGCAGAAGTTTGTATATCATTCCGGTTAAATAAAAAAAATGTGTTTATTTAAACTTATCAGATATGCCGCCTCCACACGCAATACCCTGCGGACCAAATTGTGGTACCGGATTCTGCGCTCCTCATTGCTACCATCGCGGTCGTGTGGTGGAATTTCCACCACCTCACCATCAGCCGCCACACCACCACTATCCACCACCACCACATTACCCACCGCATCAACATCCACCACCCCATCTCCCACCACCCCACTACCCACCTCCACAGCAGCCTTATCCACCCCCAACACATGGTGTTCCTCCCCACATGTGGCGTTAATGTAGTTATTAATAACAACATCTAATACCGTGATATGATCACGTCTAGATATTGCTGTTCCATTTAATATTAAGATCTGCAATTTCTATTTTTTTTGTTAATGAAATATTTTTAACTGTCGATATCGTCCAATTGAAACATATAGATAATGTAATACATTATTATTTTTTTGACTATGATGTTATCGCATGTCATATATTTTTTAATAAAATGTTTTTAGTGAACTTAATTACTGTTTACCTTTCTTTACTCATTTTTAAGTAAAGATACGCTTTTAAATAAACTTAATATTATCCAACACAGACTACATTAGCAAGCTGACCTTTGAAAACATATTCGTACTACTCGTAGGCAGCACTACTTTTTATATTAATTTAATATTGCTATGTAAGTTTGGTTCTCTACACCTTATTATATTCTTAAGTTTTTTGAATAAAAATCACAACAGACAAGTGATAGCAATTATATTATACTTTTGTATAACAAGAATGGCCACATTAGAAAACTGGAAACCAAATAGCTTTCTTATTACGAAACTTTTTTCTCATAACAAGATTACGTACGCCAGATGTGTTGTATAGTGGTTGGTACAAATTTCACAGGACTAGCGATGATCTGCGGGTTATTGCAGTTTATTTTTTTTTATTTCTATCTTCTGAAATAAAGTTAGATAACATATCTGCAGATACATGTATTTAGCTAAGTATATGTATTGTAAATTTTCTACATTCAGTCCAACATTTACTACATGAAACGTTAGTTTAGCTAAAAAATGGACATTTTACATGTGGGACGGATAGTCAAGACTTACTTATTTATTTATGAAATTAAATAGTAAGTATCGTTGGGTAAAAAATGTAGTAAAATAATGAAATATATAACGATAATTTATAAAATAGATTATCGTTAAATTTTTCCCTCAAAAATAATATAATCTTGTCTAAATAAATTTAGATAGGTGTAGATAAAAAGCTAATCTGTTGACTCATAGTATTATAAAAATAATGATTAATGTTTATGAGTAAGATAGAGCTTATGACACGCATAGTACTTTAAATAGTAATCATAACAAATTGCAATAACAACCTTAGCACTGTACTCGATATTAATCGCAATTATGCACGTGTGGTGTATAGTGGTGGTTTAAATTTAAATATTCAAAAAGACTTTCTTAATGGAGGCTTACTTTATAAAATCAACTTATGTTTCTTTCACAGTCTTATTAATTCAATTCCATCTTTCATCATCATCCATCTAGTTCAGAGCGAACTAACGACGCTGGAACCGCGGTAGTTATGCTAACGCAACCTCGAAATTCCGGTAATACGCTCGTAGATACACCGTATTATTTTTTAGTGGATAAAAATCCTACATATCCTACATATATGTGTATAATCCTACATATGCACTCGTTACGCCCCTGGTGAGGGACGGTCTTTTGAAGATTTTGCCACACGATAAAAATACACTCTTACTCACTCAGTCAATAATATAAATAGACCTATTATGTTACTAATCTATTCTGTCTGTTGGTAATCATGATGTAGGTACGATATTAATACGTTATGTGCAAAAAATATTATAACGAGCATTATAAGTATTCATAGTCCAAAAATAATTTATGATTTTTTTAAAGGTTTTGTATATTTTTTCATCTATCGTATTAAATACGATGTTAATGACTTTAATTATGATTACCAACAGATAAATTCATAGGTTAATGACATAATACGTACGAACTCTACTTTTTTTTATATTAATAAATATAGTAATTATTGTAAAACATTAATTTAAACGTATGATACCTAAACAACAACTGTATTATTAATCACACATGTTATCTCGTATTATCTTTACAGTATCTTTCCTATATTTAATAGTACAGTATTATTATGTGTAATATAAATGTGAAATATACAAGCATTGATAAGGTTGGCAGTGTAAACAAACAGAAATTACTTAGCAACTATATAATGCTTATAACACTTCGAGGAAATATTATAGTTAAATAGTTCGTTTTTCTATTTGGAACTAATTCCTAATTAAGAGAATTTCTTTAACAGTATTATTTCTGGAAACAGCGCAAATCCTGAAAAATGTCATATAAGTGTATGTATGTATCGATAGATAAGTTATTAACTACCTTTTCATGGAATACATTTCAATAGTTTCTATACGCGACTTCGTATAACTTTTGATATAAAACGTATCCTTTGTTCGTTCTCCTAATACAAGATTTCATGTCAAATTTTATAAGATATGTATAGCCACAGTGCCTCTGACTACGGTAATAGTCGAAAAAGTAAACTGCGTAAACAGACACGACAAAGATCAAATGTACAAATGTATATTCCATATATATCTTTGTATTCAGTTTTTTTATATTTTTACACAGGATATAAACGGTTAATTTTACACGATACAATTATTTTTGAGCTCCTGTTATTTTGACGCTGTCAAATCTATACAAATATATAAATAATTATCTTTATTCGAGCTAAAATAAGACAGATGGTAATCATCTCGCAATTTGCACCACCAAAACTGCACTCATCGTTGTTACCGCTTAGTTAGGTTGTGTTTGTATTCCGACCACGCATACACTGGCCGCACTTTGTAAAAGTAATCAAGAAATGCCGTTGTTGCGATTTTAGCTCTACCTAATTTATAAGCAAATAGCTATTGTCCGCGAATTTATCTGCATTTGTGATAAATAAGGGAGCCTATCCTCATCTTCATGTTAAGTTACATTAAGATACGTTCAGCCGCTTAGTCGTAAAAATATATTAAATACACATTATTAATATAAATGATTAGGACTAGTAGAAAAAACTCAAAACATTACTATTAAAGTTTGTTCATAAAGATTCAATAATAAAAGTCACAATATTCACTGTTCTAGAAAGTATTTTTATTACCTTTCTAGAATCTTTAATAAATACGTAGTAAAAAAACAAGTTACCTAAATAGGTTACTGAATGTAAAATATGTGAGATGAAATATATGAAATCTGAAACCACTGCTAGAAGAAGAAATTACTTCTTTAAAATATCCTTTCAATTGTTACCTGTCAAAATGTCACTAACGCCCCATCTGTCAAACCAATTACAGGACTTCTCACAGGTGGGGGTTTGAACCAATATATTTTGTAACTTCAATTGCAAAAATTATTGGATGCTCCACTGATGGGGGTATAGTGTCCAATTCCAATAATTGGCTCTTTCGAACATGAGGGGTTATATAATAATGGTTATCTTTTTATATAATAGAGGTTCGTTCGCTATATTTTTAGTAATATAAAAGATAGGATATAAGGATTAAATAACAGACAAATCAGAGAAAAAAAAATAGAAAAATAAGACCCGAAATACCACCACCCTACAGTTCGTTGCACACCTAAGGAAACGGAAGAAAAGTCAATTTGTGGCAATCAATCATCAACATTAACGCTTCAAGTACAATTGCCGTACGATTGAAGGTTGCTACAAAACGGATCTCAAGAAATACACAATAGGTACGTAAAAATAATTGCTAAAATTATGACTGTTAACATGTTATCAGAATTCCATGATCTATTCTCCTATATACTTTGGATCACAGATAACATAATATTACATTCTTTGGATATACCAAAATATCTTATTCGCACGTAACTTTTTAAATAATAGAATACTTCTTAAACATACAACAAAAACTTTTAGCATAACTAGTTGTGCTTATTCTGTATATGTAATAATATCTAATTAGGGTTGCATGAGTAGTTAAAGTCAAAAATTATTTAAATCCAGTGAAAGCATACTATCAGATTACGTTTTTATTATTTTACAACCCGAGCGTAAAACCCAGTAAGCCTAAGATCGTACTATTCATAATAGTAATGGATTAATTGAGATGAAGCTATAGCCACCGTATTATAAAAGGCACTACCCTTATGCATAATCATCCAATATCCCGATTCTTCTGTTATAAAGTGCAATTTACTGTACGTCAGTGTATTGCAATGTGTAGAAGTAAAGGAACTTTACCTACCATTTTAATATAATTAATAAATTAGAGCATCCCTAATTTCCGTATGTGTGGAAGCAAAAATAATGGTCAGTGCTTAATAAAATACATATATAAACTAAATGCATTTACATACCAAGCTTAACGTGGCAGAGGGTGGATGCAGATCACTATTTTAGAGCAAATACATACAAATTTAAAGTCTTAACAGAAACACAATGAAGTACATCTTATTGCTACATAGCAAGGCACGAAGAAAGTAGATATATCATAAATAGTGTCAAATACTTCCAAAATTCAATATAAGATATCTAATTTTAGTACTAAGGTATGTTAACGAAAAAGGTCCCAACAAATTACAACATGCAAAAAACTGTTTACGACACCCGACTAAAAGTCTCGTAAAACTAAATCACATGATATTAAGTGTGAAACTGCAGTCACGGGTTGAATCCAAATGTGAGACCGAAATAAAAACATTTGTAAGTTTATATCGCCATCAATCGACTGGCCGACTGTACATAAATAGTAAACACGTAACATCACTTTTAGACGTAGTTGGTAGTTGTAACGTGAGTTACGGTTATTGCGGTTGCCATCTCACTCCTTTCGCTCTGCAGTATCTACTGCGCTAATTTTCTCTATAATTTTAAACAGTTACAATAAAATCATGTTATTACAAATAAAAAAAAATATGACGTAACAATTCAAAACTATATTTTTATTTTGTAAATAAATAGGAAATATGCATGGAAAACACCCAAACCAGACAATTATAAATACAAATATTTGTGTTCTTCGAGGAATCAAACCCTCAACCACGGATCTGTGAATATTATATCCGCTACTATCGGCAGTAAGGCGGTGATGTGTTAAACCGCTAGACCATTGAGGACGTCATAGTAGGGAGGATGTTTTTTTTGTTTGAACGAACTAATGTCTAAAACTATAAGTAAGATTTTGACCTGTAATAATTAAATTCTTAGACTATAGGCATCATGCTACTACTCTTGTAAGCTGTGAAAAAAGTTTGAAAGAACGCTAAGCCAAAAGGAAATAATAGCGCGAGCGGGTAATGCGATGCAATGGGGTGGTTCGATGGACGAGACTGGCGCCAAGTCTTTTACATAAAACGACGGATAAAAGAGCAGGACACAACTAGTTTTAATATATAATA